TTTCTAAATAAAGTAAAAATAATATTTTCCCAAATACTCTATTTCCACAGCTATCCTAATTTCAAAATGTCTCTATGTATCTTCACGTTTGCATATATTTATTAGGTATATCAATTCCAATAAAAAAACTAACATGAAAGAAAACAGTCAAAAATACTTATACGTAATATGTTTTTGTATTGCTAATAATTGTTATTAATTTTTTATATTTGTAGGATCGAGTATTTTTTATATACGGGCACACCAGTTTGTTAATTTTCAAGATAACCATAAACGTTTTCATAAGAAGCAGAGTTCATATTGTTACAAAATATATGTTATTAATTATTTAATAAAAAGTTGTCAATAATTGCAAGTCAACATGTACTATCAACTTATGGTGTTATACATTTTAATTGCACTGGTGCAATAAAGATATACTCTTTGCAATCAAATATCATTTATTGCACAACCATTGAAAATGAACAATAACCATAGTTATCATAAAATATTGTTGATATAACATAAGTATAATCCCGATTATTGACTTATTACTTATTAAATAATTAGACTGACGTAAAACAATGACAACATTAACAATTTAAGAATAATTAATAATTTCGACTTTTCGACGTTTCTGGGGCCTATAACTATCAGGAATTCGAGATCAACTCATCAGGAAAACTCAATCAAGAAATCTGAACGACAACATAGCAACCATCCTAAAATTGTCCAACTTAATGTATCAACATTTAACATTAACGATTATCGCTTAATAATGTAATGCCTTCATAAATGTTTACAACCAACATTGCGCGACTGGTACTAGTAACGAAATATTCCTTAATCTTGACATCACCAACATTGATGATTCGTTTACAATGAACATTAACAAACCGTTACTCCTACGCTCGATTGGTTGAATAGAACTCGTGAAAAATTATACCAATCACGGGCGGTGAAACAGAACGTTGTGTTTTAAAGTACCTAATCTTATTGTTTTAATAATTTTCAATTTTAGCGAAATTTAATTGCTAACATGAAGAAAATAAAATTACTGTCCTAAACAAAATACGGTACTATAAACATAATCACACTCCGTAGAATGCTTTTAGTAAACTATTAACACATTAACATAAATCACGATTATTGAGTATCTTTACAAATTTGCAGGACAAAACAGGAAAGGTACATTTTCTGATGTTTACATGTTCTCCGTGATCTATAATACGAAAAATTAAAGGAAGTTGCTCTAGTTTAGCGTTATGCTTCGTCACTTCTCGGATGGATTGTCTTGTTCTATCATTGACTTGCTAAATGTGCGATTTCTTATCTTTAAAATGCGAATTAACGAAACCAGCAGTCGCCAACGAATGTGAAAAACTCACCGTAGCTTTGCCGTAAGGTATTAAGTCGACTTCCATGTTGTCTGTAAGATTCTGGTAGGCTGGGTTAAACTGGTCGACTAGAAATCTTACGCTGTATGGACATAGCGTTTCGTAATAGACAGAAATTTTGATCTTTTGCGCCTAAAAATCGTCCAAATTATATACTAATTAAACCATTAATTATAAGAACAAATGCAAGATGTAGAAATACAATAATATATACGTGGACTTTTACATGTTTTCCATATAATTAGATATAATTAATATGAAAATATGAAAAAAATATCAATTGCATTTGTATCTTATAATTCTTCAATTTAAAATCATTTTATATGGGAAAAATATTCAATACCAACATACCAAACCTCCATATCCGCACAAAATTGCTAAAACCATCACTTTCTTCCACATGTTTCTTCCTCCACTGTGTCACTCGGCCAAATGAGAATTGATAATTAATTGGAAACAGTAAAATTTATTGCAGTTTATGAAACAGATTAAAATTGATCAAGACGAATCGTGGATACGAAGTATTAATGAATAATAAAATTGTAGGTGGGGAAATATACGAGGGAAAGCAATAAGTGCAAAAAATACTGAATCACAATCAACTCAGTTTTACATCTGTCAGCTCTATTACTAGATTATTTTACTGTAATTAGTCATTAAGGGCTCGTGATTTGTCGCAGTGGCTGTGCAAGTTGCTCCCAATTAGTTTATTACTTTTAGAGTTATAAACTCATGGTTTTGTTTTAATTTTTCATGAAATAATAAGCATGCCTCTTTCATATCAAATGAAAAATGAAATGTATGCTCAACAAAAATGGCCTTTAAACAATATTAAAAATGTTGTGGGTACATATGTGTCCTGCCATAAGCCATAAGTAGAAATTGGTTAATACTAACTTAGTATCCGCTTTGAATAGGTTCCAGAAAGGTTACGCTACTGTCAAAAAAATGTTTTGCACAAAACTTGCTTCAAATGTACACATGATTTTCTACTATTTTTCGTCCATTGTTTTAATGCAAAATTCAACTTTTTCATTCACAGTTTTTGTAGCTTTATAGAAAATCATCAAATTAGCAAAAAATTAAGAATGCTTTTTTTTATTTAGGGCTTAGTTTCAATGTTACAGGAAAAATATGTCGAAAAGCGGGTTATTTTTCGTTTTCTTTTTTGCATGTTTGTTGTTCCCCTCAATTTAGCAAAGGTATTTTTGGAATAGGCAAACTCGAATTCTTGGACTACAAGTACTAACCGCGATCGGCGTTGTTCGATTTTTCATATCAACGACATGTATACCAATCCAAGTCGCTATTCCGTACTCGCCCTTAACATAATTATTTATATCAAAAGTAAAGCGAAGAAGTATTTTATTTACTTTATACTGCGACTTTGAATAAAGTAAATGCATATAATAAAATTTATTTATAATTAACGTTATCATTGTTATTAAAACGAGACACACTAAATCCTAATTCGAAATATTGATAACAATCAATTAAATTTGTTATTGCACTGATTTCCTGTTTTATAGCTTTATTACCTTTTCGCACTTTATGTGCGCGATAACATAAATAAGCTTAATCTAAAGTAACAAATTGTTATGTTTTACTGTTTTGTCAATATTATAGCACAGGCGTCAGTATACAGTCCTTTAAAAATTATTAAAGGTAAAATTTATCATTAATGGTAAACTATGAGCACTGTTTAAATTTTGTAAAAATAGTTCGTTTTTATTAACATTTTACACAGCTGTTTTAGACAAGAAAAACATCATGTGTGCTCCACAATATTGACAGCCACAAAACAATTTCAATTGTTTAGGTAAAAACAAACAAAATTTTTTTTCTATTAATTATACAGGGTGCTTTGGAGAGATTCGGATATAAGGTCAGGTATAAGATTATGTGGAAGCACTTCTGAAAATGAATATAGTGTTATGATATTTTCATTTGCAACGATAATAAAATTTTTGAGATATATTTCATATAAAATAAATAGAGAAAGCCGATACAACAGGGATGTGGAATACTGAGAATATGAAATTGAAGGATAAAATTTAGATATAGAATAAGTTTATAGCATAAGACAAAATCGTTAAATGTAATAAATCAATGTGTCAAAATAATGCAAAAAATTTAATTTATGAACAAAATAGATTGAAAAATGCACCAATATATCATAAAAAAGTTAGAATGTACATTAAGTACACTTTTATAAAGTCATATGTTATATTGGAAAATCTGAAAAATGTTAGAAATTTTGACAAGGTGATCGATGGAAAAAGAAGGAATTTTTAAATAAGCGAATATTGTACCTATTAAGTAAAAAACACAAATAAATAATAAAAATAATAATTAATATTTTTCAACAATAATCAGAGGCAATTGTTGAAATAAAATAATTCTATTACTAACTGACAAGTTTGAAAGATAAATTCATTGCCTACTAGTGACTTTTCGATTATTTTCTAATAAACACTGTTAAAATTTTGTTTCAGTTAGTACAGTTTTTCTTGAAAATCATAAAGTTTTTTTAAAATTTAACAAGAGTAAAAAAATTTTTAAAATTAAATTCGGCTGTGAATTAATATTATTATTTTTCAATTTGGTCAATGAAAAAAAAGTTCGGTACAATTTTAGGGGTGAGTCATCCCCAATGAACATCTTGTACTGCTTCAATTAACTTTAAATCATAGTCAAAGAAGACCAGTAATGAACCTAAATCATGTACTAAATTTGGTTCTTGTGAATATTGAATGAATGAATGACATAAAAAAATCGTTTGTCTAGCATATGTAATTCTTATCTTGTACATGTTAGTTAGCTTATTCGTTTTATTTGTCTGTTATTGTTTATCCTTAAGTTCTTTGTCTGGATTTTATATTTTGATTGCTTTACGTTATGTAGTATTTATATTTTTGTATTTAATGTTAGTTTGTCTTTTTCTTTTAAAATTTAGTTAAGGTTTTCTGTTTTACCTTATCCTGTAATTGGGGACTTTGTCCCGTTGGATACTGTAATTTCTAAATAAATATTTTGGACGCCCCTACATGCACGTGCCCTATGTCGGTTCTTATGCGAGACACCCTGTATGTTTAAGGAAACTTTTTTCCTATTTTATGTTCTATCACTAGAACGACGTTTTCAGATATTACTCTCTTCTAAAAACCATATAATATTGAGAAAGGAATAATAATAGAAACAGCTTTTAATCAATGACAGTTTCTATATAGGGTCAATTGGTCAATGATAGTTTACATAAATATACGATAATAAATAAAAATATTAACAGAAATTGCCAAAAATTAATATAAAAAAACACATGATTAACTCTGACATTTTGTTATTCTGTTTTAAAAAATTATATATTTGTTTTAAGAAAATCTTATCACATGATGTCAAACAATGTTGCTCGATACCAGAAATGTAGGTACCTATGGAGGAGAGAGGAGATATCTAACCCCACAAGCAAGATTCTGCTGATATTATGGGAAAAAAGTACTGCATACGCTATATGCCCATTGAATTATATCACGCTATTGTCCACAATAAAAACTAAAAATGATATGTCCAAATATAATTGACAAAGACAGCAGCTTCAAAGAGACGTGTTTGTTTCCACATTTTACTTGGGATTATTCATCAGGAAGCTTCCCTTCTCGTTAAATTACATTAATAATACAATTAATTACATTAAATGAAAAAAACATATAAACATCAAATATTCAGAAAAAAATATGACATTTTTGATGTTTATATTTTTTTTCTGCAAAAGCGAAATAACTAGACAATTGAAGGTGTTCTTATTTCACTTTTTACCACTTTCTGTTAGGCAACTCAACATGGATGCATTTTAAATCAGAATTTAAAAGGCATTTCCTAAAGAAATGTTTTTATAAATGAAATAATTTTTGGACACTCCATTTAGTCATTTTGGCTAACAGGTTTTTAGATTTTATATTTAAAAAAATTTTAACTTAAATCTTGCGTACCTTTTTATTATTTTTCTTAGTTATCAATTGACATACCGTCAAATTCGGCAGCTACTATCGTGTCATTTACGGAAAACGTTTTAAAAAGTAACAATCAGGAGTAACAAATCAAAATTGTTCAAACTTTACAGTAACTTACAATTTTAAATTGAAAGAGTTAGCAGCTAATATACCATTTCAAGACTTTATCGTGATAAAAAGAATTGGAAACGATTTGTAACAGGTCTGCTAATTTAGAACAAAACCAATACTTGCGAGAAACGTCTTTTGTTAACAATTAAAAATTGAAATTGCGGTATTATTCAAGTCATTGTTACAACACAAAAACTATTTTTAAAATCGGTAATTTCCTTTTTATTAACATTCTGCGCTACTATTTTAGACAAGAAAAATACCTACGCTAGTCCTTTTAAAGTAATTGTGGCAAAGTAAGTGCACTCCCAACTGATTATCCCGTAGATCCAGATCATGAAGCGTGGTGTTTTCAAAGGCATAGACATCAACAAATTCTATCACATTCCCGGCTAAAGACAAGTCCACCCATGATGCGGGAGTTGCTAAATTTTGGAAAATTCCCACCTCAACGCTCTCTAGAAGATTATCCTCCAAGTTCAACTCAACTAAGTTTACCATCCCGTCGAAAGAACCTGACTCGATGTATTTGATATCATTAGCGACCAGAAAAAGTTGCCTAAACTTTGTATTGGTGAAAATCCCATTTTGTATAACTCCCAGTTTGTTAAATGACAAAGACAACATTCGAATTCCGCCCTTTTCCAAAGGACGCAAGTCCTGGAAGGTACCAGGTTCGATCGTTTTTATGTCGTTACCGAACAGTAACATCTCATGCGTTGAAACGTTGACGAAAACACCGTTCCTTAATCTCTCCAAAGGATTTTCGGAAATCTGTAATAAATACACTGACAAGTCTTTGAATGCTTCCAACTCGATATCCCCAAGGTTCACCTCGTACAAAACTATTTCTTGTATGGTGTTGTTGTAGTATGAGTGTTTTTTTAACACCTTCACATCTTCGGCTACAAAAAATATGACGAGAACAAAACCAATTGAGGCGACGATTATGTCACTGAAGAACATATTTTTTGCGTCTTCGATCACGTAGTGTAATGATACGGACTGGTTGTGCGCTAGCTAAAGTCAACTTTTATAAAGATAGCTACGTTGGTTGACGGATGTGTTTTCAAAAATATCTAAGGTCAGTTAGCGACCGGTATGACATCACTTGATAAGGATAAGGTTATGTGGTGGCCGTACCACCACATAACTTACTCTTAGTTACGGAGACCGGCATACATTTTTTATTTCTCGATGATTTACATTATCGCTTTGTTAATTAGATAATACGTATGCTACACAATTTTGCAAAACACTAGGCAATTTCAAATGTTTATGTAAAAAAATATACCCAGTGATATTCATTTATTACTAAATTTTTCATTTAAATAATTTCTCACTGCATATGAAAATATTGCAGGTGCGCCATCTAATTGCATCCTCATTTTTCTCAATATATTTAAAGAGACGTCATCAAGAAGAACCCAAACCAATTCAATAAAGACCTCGATAAAACCAAGTTATTGCTGTTTA